CATCCCGGACTCTGTGCTCACCCCGCCCGAGATGGAGAGCGGCGCCCCCAAAGGGCCTTTCGGCACCTCTCCCCGGACCATCCCGGCCGCCTCCTCTTCGGCGGACACTCTCTCGCCCCCGCTCTCGGGCTCCCCGTGCGAGGAGAGAGCCACGTCCACGCCCTTCACGCCGCTCCTCTACCCTGCCGACATGGAGGTGCTGCAGCGGTTCCACGCGGGCAACGTGGTTGTGCCGCTGGTGCACCAGCTGGGCGGCCCGCATGCCGGCACATCCGGCTCGCAGGGCCTTTACGCCACCAGCACCATCCGGTACGCCCCTGCCGACATGACGCTCGGCATGCAGAGCAACGTGCTGCCGCCTTCCCACCCCATCAACCTCATGGACATCGGCGGCGCCGAGGCCAAGACGCCCCGGGAACTTATGTACCACCACCTGCAGCGGTTGAACATGGTTGCGCCCTTTGGGAACTCGGCGAGCTTGGCCCAGATTTCAGGGGGAGCCTTTGCCGCGACGGACTCCTTGTTTTCCACACTGCCCTTCTCAATGGCCGGCAGCGGGGTCCATGGTGCCTCGGCTTTGGAACGCAAGGAGGACTGAGCCCATGGCCAAACTCTGTGCCGGGCGGAGCCATTGATAAAAGGTCCTGCGTCCCCCTTTCAGGGGAAAGCTCAGTGCCAACTTCCCTGCCACTGGGGGAAGAAATCTTTGTTCTCTAACCAATCCCTGCGTGTCTCATCTTTTCATAGCACTCCTTTCTAAACCTCTGGCAAATTAGTAGCGTGACCACCTCCTCAGCAGTCTTGTGTTCCACTCTTGCTCTTGCCTGGCCACCCAGATGCTGCTGTTTGAAACTGCTGTTCTGGTTGCGGAACGAATTCAGGAGTTAGCCCAGTGCAAATGCGGAGTTCGGGAGTTTAGCCCAGGGCAAAGTCGGTGCAACGTTCCTGGGAAAGATGAAAGAACATTCGTTCTCATCTGTCTTCCTGCTGCTACAAGTTGACTTCCTTCCTCCGCCATATTTGCTGGGGACTTTGGGGTGGGCTTTTTTTGTATGTATGGGGGTTATGTTTAGGCCCTGCAGGTTTTTCTGTTGAGAGGACCACCTGCCTGCTAGCCAAGGCGAGTGTAACTCGAAGAAACCTGCACATGAAGAGCAGGGTGTCACCACCCCCGACTCAATCCCCCAGTGTGATTACATCAGCGTTACCACTTTTGCTTCTGTTCTGTCCACACTGCACTCTCCCTTACAGCACAGCAATTGCTCAAAAGTCCGGCTCTGAATTATAAACAAGAAATCCAGATCTGGCAAGTATATCTGAGTGAATCAACCCTTTGGGCACTCCTCTTATCTCGTATAGCCTCACCTTCGTCATGCTTCCCCCTTCTGCAAATAATGGATTAATAGCTTTTATGTTTTCTGTGTGCTCAGATCAAAGGGGAAAGAGATTACTAAAGCTGTCTTAACTGCCCTGTTGCCAAGAGTTCTGCCACCAGCTTAACAGTCTTAAGTGAAATGTGGGTGCCAATAGGGGGACGGCTAATTTCCCAGTGGTTAAAACTTCTGAAAGTGAAGGAAGATGCAGTGTGGATGAACCAATAATTGAGCATGGACAGTTCTAAACAGTTAACAGGGTGCTGATTCTGCTCTTCCAATTACCAGGTGTTAAGACTTCTCATCCGCCCATTTGTCTACCAGTGGCTGTTGGCTGTTGTAGCAAAATGGAAATTCTGTGTGCAGAGGCAGTCTACCAGAGTGACAGATTTGGGGTGGGGTAGATTGGGAGAACCATCACCACCACGCCATTCCTAGAAGGTTCTGCCTGGCCACTGTTGGGAGGTGGGGGAAATGGTGGACAAGATGCGCCTCTTTGATGGTCCAATCCTGCAAGGTTGCTTCTTCCTCTCATCACTGTGCAAACACAGCTGTTGCTTTGATCCTGTACTCAGTAGAAAAAAAGCTTCCACCATTGAGACCCCTTGGGACATGAAAAGGACCTTTTCCACCCAGAGCCCAAAATGCAGGCCAGAAAAGGGATGGAAACAGGTAGGTCGTCATCGTATGTGATGACAGCACTTAAAAAGGTTAAAAAAAATGTTACGCCATAACTTTTAGCACTTATTCAGAATAAAGACTACTTGTACAGTTCGGCGGGAAAGGGTGGGTGGGGGGAAACCCACAGCGAGACAGTAGCACTTGGATGACGTGGTATTTTTCTGTGTAACTCATCGCTAAAGATCTGTGTGTGTGTGCGTGCGTTTTTTTCTTTTATTAACCTACGGTTCTCGTTGGATAGATGAATGTAGTTTCCACTGTTCACTTGTTCTTGACATTTTGCTGCTTCTTTTGGCGATCTGGGGTTTCAGAGAAAATGAAAATAAATGGGACTCTGTTCCTGCCTAAAAAGATTTCAGTAGGCGCAACCATTTTTCCTGGCAGGATTAAGAGCAGTAAGATCTTGTCGTAATAAAGCCTGTGTGTATCCTCATTCTGAGTTAATTAACAAAGGGATCCCCCCGACACACACACCAAAGAGAAATACAAACATATTTGAAAGTACAGTGGTACCTCGCAAGACGAATGCCTCGCAAGACAAAAAAACTCGCTAGACGAAAGGGTTTTTTGTTTTTTGAGCTGCTTGGCAAGACGATTTTCCCTATGGGCTTGCTTCGCAAGACGGAAACGTCTTGCAAGTTTGTTTCCTTTTTCTTAACACCGTTAATACAGTTGCGACTTGACTTCGAGGAGCAACTCATAGAACGCGGTGTGGTAGCCTTTTTTGAGGTTTTTAAAGCTTTTTGAGGTTTTTGAAGCTTTTCCAAAACTTTCCCGACACCGTGCTTCGCAAGACGAAAAAAATCGCAAGACGACAAAACTCGCGGAACGAATTAATTTCGTCTTGCGAGGCACCACTGTACTTGGAATAACAATGTGATGATTTTTTAGGGCACGCACCAGCCTGAACACGCATGAATCCTCTGCAGTCTGGTCTCCCCTGAAATGTTTGTTAGTTATTTGGATCAAAAACTCCAAAGTGTGCTTTCTCAAATTTGCTAGTGACAGGATAGTTCAGTCGGTAGAGCACGAGACTCTTAATCTCAAGGTCGCAGGTTTGAGCCCCACCTTGGGCAAAAAGATTCCTGCATTGCAGGCGGGGTTGGACCAGATGACTCTCGTGATCCCTTCCAATTTTACAGTTCTGTGATTCTGCGATAAAAGCAGAAGTGGTTGCCAAGTGCCATCAAGGAGGACAGGTGTGAAATTCAAAGCAGCCTTGGCAAATTGTGAGCAATTACCTGAAACGAAAATTCGGCGCTGCTAAAGCACAAGGAAGGGTCTCAATAGCGTCGAGAAAAGTGACTGCCTTCCTCGTTGCCAGCTCAAACATTCAAATAGGACAAGAGCTACTGGGCACAGGGTCACGTAAGTGTATAAGGTGAAACGTGACAGAGTGGATAGGTAAGAAATTTTCCTCCCACATAATACTAGGAGTTGGGGCCATCTGGTGAAGTTCAATGTTGGAAGATTCAAGAAGGACTTCTTCACACAGCACATAAAACTATGAAAGCAGTTTCCCCCAGAGGTAGTGACGGCCACCTACTTGGATGGCTTTCAAAGAGACTTTTTAGCAATTCACGGAGGATAAGGCTGCCAGTGCCTGTTAGCCACAAGGGCTCTGTTGTTGGAGGCAGGGTGCTTCCGAGTTGCTGGGACACACAAATGGGGGAAGTGCTGTTGTAGACTAGATGGGCCTTTGACTTGATCCAACATGGTTTTTCTTACGTACCCAGAGGGGGGAATGAAGTCAAATCACAGCCCTTCCCATCTACGTCAGCGGCATGCTGTGCATCCATGTCTGGAGGGAAGAGCTCTCATCTTCCCTATTATAAGTACATGACAAAGCCCCCGACTATAGGAGCAGCACAGCTCAAATGAGACTCAACAGGGGAAGGTCTGCAAACACACAGACAGCTCTACCCAGAGCTGCCTCTTGGGTCTGTGGGTGCCCTATTGGCACTTCTGGTAGAAACATTGCTGGGAGCAGTGCTCCAAGCGAGGCATGGGGGTAGTTCCAGCTTCTCTCAGTGCTCCAGAATGCTCAATGTAGTGCCTCTCCAGGACATACTGGGAAATGTTAACTGGTGGCTTGTAGACGCAGCTGCCCGGCATTGTGGGGAGGAGGCTGGTGGCTAGGGCAGGCATTCGTGGTGGTGGGCCCTGGCAGCTTCAATGAGCTACAATGTGAAGAGTAGGATTGTGCCAACCTTTAGAGCAGGCATGCAAGGGGACTTCTGGGTTCCATGCCTCAAGGGTCCCACCTTATCTCAAGAACCATCCTCACACCTTGATGTGAAAAGTGTGGGAAGCTATGAAGGGAGAAGATGGCCTTAGGTGCCAACTGGCAGAATCGATGAAATCGCTTTTGTACGTACCCTGTTTTCCCGAAAATAAGACAGTGTCTTATATTAATTTTTGCTCCCAAAGATGCGCTAGGTCTTATTTTCAGGGGATGTCCTATTTTTCCATGAAGAATACGGTACACATTTATTGTCTAATTGTGAGTCAGCCAGACCCCATCAGGGCAGAGCGAGCAGCAGCAGGTGGCAGCTTGTCCTGGTGGCAGCGCAGGCTCTCTGATTTAAAGAGACCTCGCACTACCTGAACAGCTCTGGCTGTGCTGCAGCCAATCAGTGAGCTGCATGGAGGCACCCGCTGCTACGGTCCAGAGGAGTCAGACACCTTACGGTAGCTTTGGTGCCTTATATTCCGGGGAGGCCTTATGTTCAGGGGAGGCCTTATTATCGGGGGGGGGGATGCCTTGTATTAGAGCAAGAGGCAAAACTGGAAGTAGGTCTTATTTTCAGGGGATGTCTTACTTTCAGGAAAACAGGGTAGAAGTTAGTCTGCCCAGCTAAAACCAAGAGTTGCGTGCCCGGCTGCTATCGGAGGAAAGAGCGTGAGCAGTTTTTTGTCACCAGGTTTAGAAAAAAAAGTAGGAGATTTGGGTTTGGTGTCTTTAATACAAATGTCAACTGATTTGGACAGGTGGAGCAAAGAAGGCATGGGCCAGTGGCAGAAGAGATACACCTGATATGTGAGGAGCAGGAGGATTGGGGAGCATAAGCAACACTGGAAAAGCAGGGCCAGGCTTTACAGGAGATGCCAAGAGAGCAGGACATTTCTTAACAATATCTTCAGCTGATAAATATCAGCTAGCACTTCAATTAACTGGTTGAAGTGCGGGGGGGGGGGAGCAGAGCAGAGCAAGACCAACTTCAACAGAATGCTTACGTGCCAGAGACCCCAGTTCAGCAAGAGTGCGTGCTGCTGGCTCAACAGAGTGTCCTCTGAACAATTCCCTCCTTTGTCGTTGCTGGTGACCTGATTTTTGCTACTGTCACTTTCCCAGAGCCCATCTGGAAAACCTGAAATAAATACAAAGCAGCCAACACATCCGCTTGTCTCTTGTTTGCAAGGAAGCCGCCTGTCCTTGCCCTTCGGCCCAAAAGGCAGAAGGATTCAAACATGCCGGGTGGGGTGGCCTTAAAAGCTGCAGTCCACAGAATACCATCGCGTGTCTGCACAAGCCAACTGGGCCTTCACTTATCCGACTTCCCGTCCTCCTTTTTCTTGTCCTGGCACTTGTCGTTGGGGTCGTCCTGGATGATCTCCACCTCCAAGCGCCCAATGTAGAGGGAGATGGCGCACAGCCAGAAGAGCGCCACAGTGGTGACTGCGGCACAGTTCAGGAGAGCCGTGGAAAAGGACAGCATCATGGTGCGACGGAGGAGGAAGAGGCTGAGGAGGTAGGAGGCGCTGCCGTACGAGACGCAGATTCCACCCAGGATGAAGAAACCTGCAAGGAGATACAAAAGTCAGCATTGGACAGTACTAAGCAGTGAATATGCCTGTCTATACAACTCAACAGCCTTCTACTAAAACAGAAAAACGCCTATGCGTGTCTGGATGGGCTTATACTGGAGGGGAGAAATCCCTTATTAATTCTTATGTACAGTGGTACCTTGGGTTAAGAACTTAATTTGTTCTGGAGGTCCGTTCTTAACCTGAAACTGTTCTTAACCTGAAGCACCACTTTAGCTAATGGGGCCTCCCGCTCCCGCCGTTGTGCGATTTCTGTTCTCATCCTGAAGCAAAGTTCTTAACCCGAGGTACTATTTCTGGGTTAGCGGAGTCTGTAACCTGAAGTGTCTGTAACCCAAGGTACCACAGTATTCTTTATAAATTCAGACTTTCAAGCTGACATTAAAATGTAACATGAAATTTTATTAGACCAACTAAGTTTGAGCTAGGAGCACACATGCCTTCAAGACGAGCCAAGCTCTTCATGGGTTGAAAAAACAAACCATTGATGAAAAGTTCTACATTACTCTAAAGCCTGCATAGGTCCCTGTTAATCTTCCTACCTCCTGTCTCTGAATTAATATGGTTACCAATCTCTACTGAGTTTCCCTATTAACCAGAAGTGGCACAGGCTCAGAAAAGAAAGTATTTAACCTGTTCCTCCAAATCTGGAGGTTATTTGATACACAAAGAGACCCACTCCAAGTCTCCTGCTGTAGTGGTGGAGAGCAAGATCCCACTGGGACAGGGAATCTGGTGTGAAAAGCCTGGGGAGGTGAGAGGGATTCAACTGCAATGTTTGACATGCACACTGTCTTGCAGAGTTAATATCCTATTTCCAGCATGGTGAACCCAAAAAAGAAACCATGCGTACTCCACTGGCTCCTCTAAGAGAAAAGCTTGACCAGAATTATTCCTCACTACCACCACCTCATACCTGTACAACTATGTCATTTCTCAAAACCGTTTATAAACCAGGAACTAACTAACTAACTAACTAAACACAACTAATTGTAGCTCAGTTTCAAGTATGAGGATCCACTGCCCCACTGTGGCATAAATGAGAAACACTGTTTTGGAACCAGTTGACAGATTTAAGAGTCAGCAGTGACTAAATCTTTTTCAGGCAGCCCTCAATATCCCAACAATATTGACTTTGCTGTGTAACTGCTACTCTCTCCCCCACCCACTCACCCCACATATATATAGTGTCTGTGAGAGAGTGGGATTTTTACCAAAGCTGGTGCAATTCAAGAGGATGCTATAGCTAAAACTGGTTTTCTACTTGTGTGCCTAATTTCTGCATTGAATATGGAGGAGGATACATTAAAACAAACTTGTCCATAGTTGCAGATTGCCCCCTTCACTGTGCTGGACGCATGACAGTCTGAGACTACTCTTCTTGCCTTCTCACAGAGCCCATCCAGCGACCTCCCTCTCCCGACTGCATTGAGGTGAAAGAGGTGACAATACTGTAAAGAAACCCGGTATCTGGAGAAAAGCCAATTAAGAAAATGCAGCTTGTCCGCAGAACTATGGCTTGTTTTTAGGAAAAGCTATTTGCATTTGGAAGATGGCGGAATTATGCAAGCTCATAGGTCACTGCAATCTGCATAATTATCGGCGTGCTGAATTTCCTTTAAAATGGGGAAGGAGGGACGAGGGAGGGAGAACCACTTTAAGGGGCCAAGTGTATGTTCTGGTGCCCTAGCCTCTGGGGAAAGGAACAAGTGCTACTCTTTGCAGCATCAGCCTTTAAGTGCTGGCCTGACTGCAAGTGCTGGTGTGCTTGGGGGGGGTGCAAGTAAATGGGGAAAGAATTGAGATATTGTTACCCAGTTGGGTTGGCAGACATACAAAAATGGAGCGAAGAGGACAGAGAAGCACCTGCTGGCACAGCCTGGTGCTTAGGGAGCAGAAGGCCAGGGGGCCAGCATCTCAAAAAGGACATCTGCTGAGCCACTGTAATGTAGATTTCTTATAAGCAAGCAAGAATGCAGTTCAGAGTAGGGAAACTTGTGACCTCCAGGTGTTGTTGGGCTCCAGCCCTCATCAGCTAGTGTGGTGACTGGGAGTGGCCGCTGGGACCACATAACACCGGTCCTGAGAAATCTGCATTGGCTCCCAGTACATTTTTGAGCACAATTCAAAGTGTTGGTGCTGACCTTTAAAGCCCTAAACGGCCTCAAAGGCCCAGTATACCTGAAGGAGCGTCTCCACCCCCCATCGTTCAGCCCAGACACTGAGGTCCAGCGCCGAGGGCCTTTTGGCGGTTCCCTCATTGCGAGAAGTGAGGTTACAGGGAACCAGACAGAGGGCCTTCTCGGTGGTGGCGCCCGCCCTGTGGAACACCCTCCCATCAGATGTCAAGGAAGTAAGCAGCTATCTTATCTTTAAAAGCAGCCCTGTTTAGGGAAGTTTTTAATATTTAATGCTGTATTGTTTTTAACACTCGATTGGGAGCTGCCCAGAGTGGCTGGGGAAACTCAGCCAGATGGGCGGGGTATTAATAATAATAATAATAATAATAATAATAATAATAATAATAATAATAAAAACCATCAATGGTCAACTGTTATAATCATAGTCCAGCAACGTTGGAAGGGCAACAGGTTCCCCAGTCCTGATGCAGTCAAACCCTGCCTCCTCTTGTCTCCTTCCCTGCTTTATTTCACAGACTTCGGGGCACATCAATTTCAACTTTCCATTTTATTCAGGCTTAAAGAGTTCAAGCCCCCCATTTCATAGAACAAACCCTCTGCTTCTGCTACCTTCCTCTCTGCACACCTGCTACCCTTTCCTGGGCATTCCATGTGGGCAAAGGGAATACACCTGCAACTCAGTGGATCCTCAGCCTCTAACTGCTGCTGCTGGCCACATTTGAGGAGGAGGAGGAAGAAGAAGAGGAGTTTGGATTTGATATCCCGCTTTATCACTACCCTAAGGAGTCTCAAAGCGGCTAACATTCTCCTTTCCCTTCCACCCCCACAACAAACACTCTGTGAGGTGAGTGGGGCTGAGAGACTTCAGAGAAGTGTGACTGGCCCAAGGTCACCCAGCAGCTGCAGGTGGAGGAGCAGAGACACGAACCCGGTTCACCAGATTACGAGTCTACTGCTCTTAACCACTACACCACACTGGCTCTCAAGCTTTTAAAGTCAGCTACTTCTCCCCACCCATCTTTTTCCTAGGGACAAGCAAACTGTCCAAGGTCGCTGAAACAGTCCCTGTCTGACTTTCAAGGCTGTAGAATCGTTTGCTCTTCTGGATGCCGTTTACAGAAGATGACATCACAAGAGCTATTAGTGTCTGAAATGTCAATTGAGACTTATTAAGGTTCCTCTTGTCTTTTGACTCACTTATTCAGAGAAGCTCTTTCTGGCTCTAACCATCAATTAGCTCTTCCAAATGTTGGAAGAATGACGGCCCCAGTCGTAGACAGTACAGTGTCTACAGACAAATGCTGCACAAGGTGCATCTCAAGTAGATTCCCCCTCGGACAACACAGCTCTCCGTAAGTCATTTGCTACACGGCAACAGCCCTAGAAGAACAACCCACTCTTTCCCGATTTGCAAAGTCTTCTCAATCCAGTCACTTTTAAAGCCATTTTGACTCCCCACCTGCGGCCGGGCAAATAAACAGGTCTGTTTTGCAAATGGGCAAAACAGGCTGTGATGCTAGTGCCCACTTCCTGAGCTCCAGAGTTACAGCTGCGGTGTGTCGACATTGGCGATATACCGCGATGTTGAAAAAAGCTGTGTTGGCCCCAGCCAGCGAGATGCCAGGTGAAACTGCTGCAGCTCTCGTTGTGGGAGCTGAGGCGCTTTCACCCCAGTGGCCTCGGGGACTGCAGCGGGTGGGGGGGCTCCGTAAAATTGCTTGACAGCAGCACGCTCCTCAGCCATGCAGTTTAAAGAAGCGGAGGAAGGAACAAGCTGAAACGGCACCCCACCGATTCAGCTTGATTCTCCCTATGCACCAGCGGTATATTGCTGGTGAAACTGCCACAGCTTCTGCCTCTAGCTCCCAGCTAGTTTGTTTCTCCCTCAGCACGCTGGGGGCAAAGGGACTCAAGAGCAGTGATAGTTTCACCAGGAATATACCACTGAGTGAAGCTATCATTGCGGCCTGCCCCCATATACTGGTCCTGGGCAATACAGTGGTACCTCGGGTTACATACGCTTCAGGTTACAGACTCCGCTAACCCAGAAATAGTACCTCGGGTTAAGAACCTTGCTTCAGGATGAGAACAGAAATCGTGCTCCGGCAGCGCGGCGGCAGCAGCAGGAGGCCCCATTAGCTAAAGTGGTGCTTCAGGTTAAGAACAGTTTCAGGTTAAGAACAGACCTCCAAAACGAATTAAGTTCTTAACCCGAGGTACCACTGTATATCAATATATCACCCAGGCCTACTCTCCTGCTACGTGTGCAAACTATACCGCTTGTGGTTGCATCCTTTCTCTGAAGAGCAGAGGGGCAGAAGACCAGAGGCTAGGTACCTTCTATTTCATCAGCTATATTGGAAGACCTTGACCAAGTCTCAGAAAATGACCCATGGGGACCCACCCTTAGTGTTAATTATCCTTACCACGGCCCTGAAAGGCAGGCCTGTAATTTATTCTCATATTACCAGTGATCAGTGTTAGAAACTCAGATATATAATCAAATAGCCAAATGGCACTTTAAACCTGGGCTGCAGTCACCATAATGGAAAATTGAGGTTATGTCTCCCCCCCCCCACTCCATGGTATAATGATATTATTCTTATTCTGATTCTTATACTGCTTTATATTTTAAAGAACAAATCTCCAATGCAGTTTACAACACATTAAAACATCAAATAAAACAACGCAGAATAAAATGAATTCAAGCTACAAGGGAAATATTTCAGATCCTTCTCTCCGTGACATTTTGCTTTCCTCAGTGGCCAACCTGGCACCCACGAATCGCCACGTGGTCCCAAATGGACCCACGCTAGTCATAAAATGTGCCTGGCTAATTTCGAACACTGCTAATGATGTTTAAAAATTGAATTGAATTAGGAAAAGTGTCCTGTGCAAATTGGGGAAATTTTCCGATACCCTTGACTGGAGAGTGATGTAATTTAGCACATATCACCTGTATTTAGTAAACAAGGCTAAAAGCGTTCAAACCGTCAAGCTTGCCTAATACTGTGGTTACAGTGGGCATCCGTTTGTTGTTACTAACCATCCTATGAATCAACATTTTTTCCGCTCCACATCACTGCACACTGCAGATGAGGCAATTGTACGGCCTGTATGAACCCACGATGCAAGTTTCTGATCCAAAGGATTAATGAATCAGAGCCATGTAAGCTAACTTTGTGGCTTCTCACTTCTCCCTAAGGAAAGGGTGTTGGCCTGTTGACACAGGTAACCCCTTCTATGATTGTTATCCTCTTAGAAGAATGATGCCAACAACATTTTGATGGAATGATTCCTTTATCCATGGCAGCAAACTAAGATCTGCCAATATCCTGTCACTCCACCCTGAGTATCGACTTGCTTGTTACCTACCATAAGCTGCTTCGCGCCCCATGTCACTCTGAACGTAAGAAATCACTCCAACACCAGTAGCCAGCAAGCCATTCCGAAACCAGGAGAGGAACCCTGGTGAGAAAGGAGGAAGGGAATAAGAACCGTCTCCTCTGTGTTTAAGCAGACATGGTTTCTATCAATCAATACATATTAAGAATGCTAATAGTACACCCTACACATATCTACTCAGAATTAAGCCCCACTGAGACATACTCTAAGGTAAGCCTGTAAAATATGATAGTCCAGTGCTACTGTTAATAAACATAACTGTCACATTACTTTACAGAACTGGTTGTTACAAGGATTAACTAAGACAATACAGTGATACCTTGGTTCCCAAACTCAATCTGTTCTGGAAGTCCGTTCGACTTCCAAAACGTTCACAAACCAAGGCATGGATTCTGGTTGGCTGATTGGCCCGGAAACAATGGCGACAGCCGAAATGGACGTTCGGCTTCCAAAAACTTTTCGCAAACCGGAACACATACTTCTGGGTTTGCGGCATTCGGGAGCCAAGCCATTCAGGAACCAAGCTACCACTGTATTCATGAAGCGTTCTGAACACTCAAAAACAGATATAAACGTGCTGCTGTTGTTTCAGTTCTGAATATCTTTAAATGTTCTTAGCTGTTAATGTTTTAGTTGGTTTTTATGTTATTCTTCATGATACTGTTTGTAAGGATGACTTGAGACCATTGTGCCACAGCTTGCCTGGCTCCTCCCTCTCTGCCCACTGAGAGGGAAAAGGGAGGGAGGAGCAGGCAGTTCGGTGGGCAACTCCCAACTGCAAGCAACTGTGGGAGCAAGGTGGGTTGAAAGGCAGTGGAAACAGCCATGGTGATTTAATAAGCATTCACGTTTCATAGGAAGGATTTGTTTGTTCCTATTCCATATATGCCACCCCTTGATTCCAACAATGCCAGGGTGGTTTACAACAAAAGAAAAGTGGGGAAGAGAGAAGAGCCCAATGAGCTGCCAAACACCGAGCAGTAGTCCAGTTTGGGGGTTTCCTCTACAACAGCAACCATCACCACTCAAGAATCATATTGAACATTATTCTCTTGAAGCGAATTGGTTTTATTATAGAATTTTTATTGGTATGTTCTTAAACCACTCTGAAAGGTCTGGCTGAAAAGTGGCATATAAACATCTTAAATACATGAAAGAATGCAAGATTAAAGGTAAAGGTACCCCTGACCATTAGGTCCAGTCGTGACCGACTCTGGGGTTGCGGCGCTCATCTCGCTTTACTGGCCGAGGGAGCCGGCGTACAGCTTCCGGGTCATGTGGCCAGCATGACTAAGCCGCTTCTGGCGAAGCAGAGCAGCACACGGAAACGCCGTTTACCTTCCCGCCGGAGCAGTACCTATTTATCTACTTGCACTTCAACGTGCTTTCAAACTGCTAGGTTGGGAGAAGCAGGGACCGAGCAACGGGAGCTCACCCCGTCACGGGGATTCGAACCGCCGACCTTCTGATTGGCAAGTCCTAGGCTCTGTGGTTTAACCCACAGCACCACCCAGGTTCCAGCATCAACAAAATCTGAAGCAGTAGCTAGAAACAGCATAATGATAAAAGTACTTAAAGACCCTGAACAATACTGTAATGAAGTCTTAGCTAGGGGGCAGGCAAAGAAACAAACCACAGGTGCCAGTGGAAGGCCCCAGGTTCAGTCCTGACACCTACAGTTAAAAGGGTGAAGAAGCAGATGGTGCAGAGATCCCTTCGTAAGAAGGTTCCATTCAAGAAAACTGACCATTCATAGCTAGAACAGCCAATGGTCTAATCCAGGAAAAGGCACTTCCTATAAACTGAAATAGTAAGGGTTGGTGGGAGTTACAGTCCTACAATCTCTGAAAGACCACAGGTTCTGCATCCCTGTTCTAAATCATGTTCCACATAAGAGGATCTTTAATATTTAGTTAAAATCAACAGGCAACGCTTCAATTGACTGTTTTGCCTAGTACTGTACATAAAATCAGTCACGAGCTCTGCTGATATACAGCTAGCTATGTTTCTCTTCACAAATGATGTCTGACTAAAGAAGATAATGCAGACCTCCAGATGTTGTTCCAACTACAACTCCCATCAGGCGCTGACCATTGTCCATGATGGTTGTGGACCAACATTTGAAGGGCCACAGGTACCCCACACCTGGCACAAGACAGACTGAGGTAACAACAAAGCTTAATGTTTTCAAAAGTGGGGATTAGCCATTGCTGCTGCTTCCTAGAATCCTGCTTATAGGTTGATACCTGATCTAGCCTGCAGCCTTGCATCTTCTGACTCAACGTCCAGTGTACAGTGGTACCTAGGGTTAAGTACTTGATTCGTTCCGGAGGTCCGTTCTTAACCTGAAACTGTTCTTAACCTGAAACACCACTTTAGCTAACGGGGCCTCCTGCTGCAGCACCACCACCGCACGATTTCTGTTCTCATCCTGAAGCAAAGTTCTTAACCCGAGGTACTATTTCTGGGTTAGCGGAGTCTGTAACCTGAAGCATATGTAACCCAAGGTACCACTGTAATGTGCTGTTTGTGGGGCTACCTTTTGAAGACTACCTTCCAGCCAGCAGTTTGGAAACTGCTGTTAGTACAGATTTGTTTCTACAGGGAGGCGGGTGTTTCTGATCCCTTTCAACTCTGCATTGTGCACCACCTACCCCAGGCATAGGCAAACTCTGGCCCTCCAGATGTTTGGGACTACAATTCCCATCATCCCTAGCTAACAGGACCAGTGGTCAGGGATGATGGGAATTGTAGTCCCAAACATCTGGAGGGACGGAGTTTGCCTATACCTGACCTACCCTGATGATGAGCTCTGCCAAACCTTAACGTTGCACATTGATAAAGGTACTGCCTAATAGCATATATATGTATATAATATTCTTGGGGGATATTAAAGTTAAACATGCAATGTAAAATATCTAAAATAAGGAGTTATTTTTTAAAAGCAGGCTCCTAAGAGGTGACCCTTGGCCCACATTAAACCTCCCTGTTCCCGCCTTTATCCGTCTACTTCCTGCAACAGACCTTAAGCCCCGCCCATTCAGAAGCCCCGCCCACGTTGGCCTTCCGCAGGCCCCGCCCCCTCCCTGCGCGCGACTCAGCCCCCTCCCCCGCCCGCCGCCCTTCCCTCACCGGTCTCGTGAGCTTTCCTGAGGAGCCAAGCGTCTGCCTTGTCCAGCTCCGAGACGACGGGAGGTCCCGGGCCCCGCCCAGAGCTGGGCCTCGCCGCCCTCCCTTTCCACGGCCAGGCCTCTCCCCTCAACAGGCCGCCGGCCCCTCTCGCCCGCGCCATGGCCCGGCTCCACCAGCCTCCGCTCAGCGCCATGGCAGCGGCCTCGGGAAAGGCTCAAGACTAAGGAGCCGGTGCGCAGAGAGACCGCCCCTGTCATGCACGGAAGGCGGGGCTGGTGCTGATAGGCCGCGTGGGCTGCCGCTCCTCGGCAGCGCCGCCCCTCCGCCAGGAGATTTCGAGAGGGATTGGTCGAGGCGCATGTCGTTGTGAAGAGAGGCGGATACGTTGCTTATCAGGATAGGTCCTTCGTGACCCATCGGGTATTCTACGGGGTCCCTTCATCCTTCTGATTGGTCTCCCGAGAGCATTCTGGGAGATGCAATCCCTTTCCTCAGCTCTGGGCTGCCCCGTTGCATGCTGGGGATTGTAGTCTCTACCTCAGGAGAGCCAAGTACAGTACGTTACACTGTACAGAGAGAGAAAAGCGGTTGAGTGACAGAAAACGTCTCCATGGTTCCAGTTTTAGGGCCATTTAGGACCGAGGAAAGCTTCGCTTGTGTGACTGACGAGCGGAAGGAAGGAAAAGACGTTTTAATTTCAAAGCTCCGCTCAATCTTCCATATGAAAATATGAACAGTGGGCTAAGAGTTCAGGCCTGTCATAAACTGCTCGCTTCCACCCATGTTCAGTGTGGACCATCTTACAGTGATATGACAGGGCTGCCATAAAGCACAAAGATAATATTTGTAGTATTGGACCGCACTGCAGGGTTGTCATAAACCCTGCTAGGCTCCCAGTGCCCCATTTCTCCTGAGCCATGGACACCAACTCCCTCATCTCTCTGCAATTTATATATGACAGGAAGTGTTAGCAGGTGAGCATTTGCTTGAGGTCACCAATCTGTGTGGCAAATATTGCCCTGCTTGGGGTAAAACCTCAAGTGTACCATATACAGTGGTACCTCAGGTTACAGACGCTTCAGGTTACAGACTCCGCTAACCCAGAAATAGTACCTCGGGTTAAGAACTTTGCTTCAGGATGAGAACAGAAATTGTGCGGCGGCAGCGGGAGGCCCCATTAACTAAAGTGGTGCTTCAGGTTAAGAACAGATTCAGGTTCAGATTAAGATTGGAGGTTAAGAACAGACCTCCAAAACGAATTAAGTTCTTAACCCGAGGTACCACTGTATATCAATATATCACTGTATATCAATATATCACTGTATATCAATATATCACTGTATATCAATATATCACCCAGGCCTACTCTCCTGCTAGTGCTTCAGGTTAAGAACAGAAAGAACCTGGTGCTTCAGGTTAAGAACAGATTCAGGTTAAGAACCGACCTCCAGAACGAATTAAATTCTTAACCCGAGGTACCACTGTAGATGTATGTGGGCTCCATTCAAAGGCCCCACTTCCTCCTTAACACCAAATACCTTTTTGCTCCCCGTTTCCTGTCCCTCCAGAGAGCCAGGGCCCCTTTCTCTTCTACATTGGGAAAGAAAACCTAAATTGTGTCCCCATTAAAAAATAATAAATCATAGAGTTTCAAATTTAAATGGTACCAATTTGCAGAGTTTCACACATTATTTTTACAGGTGCCCCACTTCCCGAAATGGCAAGAGGTTTCAGGGGTGCTGCTTTCCTGGAAGGAGAGATCACTGGGTGCTTATGTGAGTTTGCAATGTTTGTATTTATGTACAATTCTACAAGATGAGCACAGGAAGAGGCAAACAGCACAGCGTTCTTTCCCACAGTAAATTTACTGCCTTACAATCAAATTCCCTGGATCCAGCACTCCCCAAGATATAATCGCCCAAATTGTGAGAAGTGAGGTTACAGGAAACCAGGCAGAGGGCCTTCTCGGTAGTGGTGCCCACCCTGTGGAACACCCTCCCTTCAAGGCAATAAGCAACTACAGTGGTGCCCCGCAAGACGAATGCCTTGCAAGACGGAAAACTCGCTAGACGAAAGAGTTTTCCGTTTTGGAGGTGCTTCGCAAAACGAATTTCCTATGGGCTTGCTTCGCAAGACGACAATGTCTTGCGAGTTCCTGCTGGTTTCCCCCCCCCCCCCCCGCCTTTTTCTAAGCCACTAAGCCGCTTATCAGCTGATCCGATCAGCAGATAAGCCGCTAATAGCGCTAATCCGTCAATGGGCTTGCTTCGCAGGACGAAAAAATCGCTAGACGAAGAGAATCACAGAACGGATTCTTTTCGTCTTGCGAGGCACCACTGTTTCTTACTTTTAAAGGACATCTGAAGGCAGCCCTGTTTAGGGAAGTTTTTAATGTTTAATGCTGTATTGTGTTTTTAATATTCAGTTGGGAGCCGCCCAGAGTGGCTGGGGAAAACCCAGCCAGATGGGCGGGGTATAAATAATAAATTATTAATATTATTTCTTTTCCTTCTTTTTCTCTCTGTGTCTCTCTGCCTCTCCCAAAATGCTTCTGTTGTCCTCTGCACACACACAGATCTCGAGCCTCACCCATAGGTGCTGGATAGGGGTGAAGCAGTCAGAAAAGGCATATGTAATCTCTTTTGAAATGATTTTCATATTCCCAACATTTCTATTAAACTAGAGCCTGCCCTATCATTTGGTCGAGTGAGGCAACTGCTTCAGGTGGCAGGTGCTGTGGGTGGGAGTAAAGCAGGGGCAGCCCCTCCAGCTCTTCCTGTCAGTTGGAGGGCAGCTTTGTGTGCCAGATGCTCTCCTCTGCACTCACTAAGTTAGCCTGCTGCCCTTGGATGCAGTGGGGAATGCTGACCCATTCCCGGAGCTGAAGTCAGATTTAACTGCCAGAATGTATATATGGGAATGGGGTGAGGGGTGGGGATCTTATAGGCAGTGCTTTGTTTCTGCAAAAAAAGGTGCCAGTACTCTCTGGGCACAAATTTTCCCTGGGGCCAGAAGAAACAATTACATGTTAAACAAATGCATGTTCTACTGAAACTTCATTATGATCTTGGTATATAGTTATTACATGATGCATGATAATGACTTGCGGCAATACCACAACTTTTTCTGCACTCTCAGTACCTGACTCTGCATGCTTATTTTCACCACAGGGTCATGCCATTCAACATTCTGCTGGGACACAGGCTTGCACCTCCTACCTCAATCCTGGGAAGTATTTGCACAGCTTAGAGAAGGAGGCACGATGCTTTGAGGGGGTCCAAGAGCCACCCTGCCACCTTCCTAAAGCCCTCTCAGCTTTGGAAACGAGGCACCAGGGCTCCAGGATCCTGTCAGAGCCTTACGCCTCCTTCCCTAAGCTCAGAAAACGTTTGCCCTGCTTAGGGAAGGAGGCGCAATGTTCTGACAGGTCCAAGAGCCGCCCTGTCTCCTCCCCTCCAAAAAAGGTGGTGGAACTGTGTTCTGGCATGTTCAGCACTGCTAATAACCTGCTTCAAACATCAAAATGTATTGGGCTGGGTCCAGATATCAATTCTAGCCCATAACGCTCTTTTACTAGTCCTGGAAATCAGAGAGCAAATTCACCAACATTATGTTCCATGACATTTATAGTTAAATATAAATACTTCAATACACACACACACACCAGCACTTGTTGGTTTATTTAATAAAATTTATATACCACTTTATTGTATTGACGCTTTGAAGGTGCTTACAAGAAATATTAAAATCATTGTAAACAACAGTTAAAAACAGTAATTATAATGAATTAAAAGATTATCAGTAAAATAAATTAAAATACATCACCATCTATATATCTAAGTAGGCTTGCCTAAACAAAAACACAGGTGCTGAAATGTTGCCTTTACTATACCTACATAAATCTCAACAGAAAATGATCTGACCATGTGCTGTTGTCAATATCTCCCACTTTTAGAACACCCTCCTCCTGCCCAGTTGAGAAGAGCCCAGGACGGCAAACAAATAAGAATTAAAATATCCAAAAACAACCCCAATACAAATGCAGACTGGGAAATAGCTTATTGACAAGAGGGTCTTCAGGTAGGTCCCGAAAAGACACCAGACCCCCTAATTTTCACAGTGTTTCATTTTCCAGTGATACACATGCAGCAGTGCCATTTCAGGGTTTGGTGGGGGAGATTCCCATCTGAGTTTCAAGCTCTGCCATTTCGGTATATTAACTACTGATTTAAAACAATGCACGTTAAAAATATTTGTCTTGTTCCTTTTTAATGCCTTCTTTGACAACCTCCTGCATAAGAAACATGGAGATAGGAGCATTTGAGATATAATGATGTGAGAGTTGATTTAACATCCTAATTGGCAAGCCAGTATTGATCCAAGGTTGTTAAAATTGTCTACCAAATGTCTAACTAGTATTGGTTGAGGTTTAATTTCTGGGTCATGGATATTGGTGGTTCTGGGGTATTTTTGCGTTTGGTTCTTTTAACTAGGGCTTTTTTTCAGCCCGGGAACTCACTAGAACTCAGTTCTGATACCTCTCAGGTAGGCGCCATTGCTATTCTAAGAGAACAAGGCAGGTGTTCATGGTGAGTTCCAGCACCTCTTTTTCTAGAAAAATAGCACTGCTTTTAACCCTTTTGAGAAATGAGAAGTGGTAAAGCCCTTCGACTCTCTAAGCTCAGCCTTCCTCAGCATGGCGCCCTCCAGATGTCTTGGACTACAACTCCCATCAGCCTCGACCAGCACAACTGCAGAAGGCTGTCTCATACCTGTAGCCATATGCATTTTCAAATTGTTTGGGTTGTGCTTGCTGTTGTGACACTGTTCTTGATTTCATTTCATTTTTTTCATTTCACTTTTAATTTGTATACCGCCTTTCTATATTAGTATACACAAGTCTGTTTACAAGCTGAAGGAACAACAAAATATACAACAAAGATCACACACACCTTATATCAATTTGATCCAATACAAAAAAGTCATCATAAAAATATATTTTTAAAATAAACAATTTATATCAAATAAAGTAACATTCAATAATCCATTACATATACAATAACATTATGTATCAACAAATAATAATTAAACAGAAATTCACTCTCAACAATTACAATAAATAATTACTAAACTATAATCTGTAAAAGTAATGGCAATTCACAATGAAGAAAATACCACAATACATACAAAACCTTGTAAAAGGATCAAGTTGAGAAACAAAGGCACACAACTTACAAAGTT